TTAGGAGTATATTTCATATATGTATGTATGTATGTGTTTTAATGTTTTAGCTGTGTTCACGAGTACATGGATATATATTCCGAAGTGCAATCATCAGATCCAGCTGAACTAATAAATTCACCATTTGGTGGACGATATTGCGGCACAATACCGCCACGACGACGTATCTCCATGTACCGAGCTATAGCCATTTCATTTTTTACCAACAAAAATGTATCAACACCCGATTTATTCGAAGGGACTTATAGATTTATAAATGCATGTAAGTACTACCAAAATAACTACTTAATTTACATATATATGTATAATACTTTGTTATGCTTATCAAAAAATAATAATTAAAAACTGGCTAATAACCAAACACTTTCGATGTTATGTCCGTTGTTATTCGTTTCCTTAGCTGAATATGAAATTGGTATACCAATAGCGGGTTCACCATGTTCCTACACCATCACGCCTAGCATGAGTATTAACAAAACGGGGGCACTAATATCGCCAACCTATCCGGGTGCCTATCCAAAGGATATGTCATGCACATATCAATTTCTCGGCGAATCGAATCAAAGAGTTAGATTAGAATTTCGTGATTTTGATCTATTTTTTGGTGGACCACAGTGAGTACCTCTGAATGCTGGACAAACTTATTCAGTTACATACATACATAACCCGAAACGTGATAAAAGCACATAAGAGAATGTGAAAGTTTTCATGCTTAAGCTAATTGCTTTCGCATAGGCTTTAGTGTGTAATTTTTAAAGATACTCTCAACACTCTCCTCTGTGCATTATATGTATGTTTGTATATTGAATTGAGTTATTTTAATTGAAATATCTTTTCAACAGCTGCCCATTTGACTATGTCAAAGTGTACGATGGTCCCGACAATTCGTCAGCATTAATTGGTACATATTGCGGACAGCAAAGGAATTTAGTTTTATACTCAAGCGAATCGAGCCTTTTTGTTCATTTTTATACATTGCCGAGAACAGCAAATACCCAAAATCGTGGCTTTAAAGGAATTTATGAATTTAGCGAAAGTTTTGTTAAATTAGATTTTATACGTAAGTAATTGGTACTGCCTTAGTTTTAAGTAACTAAACCAGGAGTCACACGATTTGTACATTTTAGCAGCCACAGAGTGGTGTTGTCTAGAAATAATTAGTTCAGCTCAATGACAACTTTCCAAACAACAGCACACTGTAATGTACAAATCGTGTGATCTCTGCTTAACAAGAAGTATTTAGCTGTAGGTGAATTTGAGGGAAAGTAAAATTCGTATTGGGTATACTCCAATTCTCTAATATGAAATGATTTTTCAGAGCATTCGGCGCTAATTGTTCAACAGGACTATAAATAAATTAGTGCTGAACTTTGTGAAGAAATGGCGTTCAATTCATTTTCAGTAAAATATTATGCGGTGTTTACATGAGTTGAGTAATAATCTAGCTACCGACCAACCTCGTTGAAAGCGACTAATTGAAAGGCGGTTTACACCAGGCGGTTGTTGCTTTCAACTAACAAAAAACCTCGTGTAAACACCATGCTCAGGTCAGGGAAATCTCAATTAAACATATGTACATAATATTTTCGTGGTTAGTATATGAGCAAATCTCACGAGTTCTTTTTTTTAGTATCACTCACTTCTCTAGGCAAAAAAAAAACGCTAATGCAATCTTCTGGCATTTATTTCAATCAACGGAGTGTCAGAAATAAGTAAAATAAAAAATTCAAATCAAATATTTGAATAATTTTAGCCTTATACGTTTATTTAGGCGAAAAAGTGCCGCAATTACTCATTTTTTCATTGTTAATCGATAAAATCATATTTTTTTATTTTTAAAGACTTTGAAAGTTTTCAAATATATGTGCATACAAATACAACGTATGCATCTGTTAAGTTTCAAGAGTGTACCACGAAATTACAAAAAAAATGTCGGCATGCAGAATATCTGTAGCAGCTTTTTTGCAATTTTTGCGATTTCTTTAGTTTTAATAATTTAAAATAAAAATAAAAATGTTAAAATTAAATGGTCAAAAAAATCGTTTTGCTACAATGAGCGAATCGAGTGCAATAAAGTTACTGTGTCCCCAAATAGAAAAAAAATTATATTGAGTAATAGAGAAATTCCATTTTTACAATTTTTATTGGCAAACTCGAAATTCCTTCTAAAATTGTTATAAATATACATGACGAAAGTAATATAAATGTGCATAAGGGATACTGCGTAAAAATCTTCCAAGCCAATTACTTTTAAATAATATAACTTTTAAGTTAAAGCGTGCCTCGCACGTGTTAGATGACTGCGTATGGTGCTACGGGGCGTATACGTTACATACGCTAGTAGCATATAATAATATAATTTGTTTTAATTTTTTTAGTATATATGTATGTATATCGTTCTTTAAGTTTTAATAATACGATTTCGCGATGGAATCTTGTTCTTTATACAAGGCTAAAGATAATGCATTTTCTTAGATAGGTTAAAATAGGTGTACCACCACTTTCGACCAAAAACACGTGTTTGTCGAAAAATCTAACAACTCGTGAGATTTGCTCATATACATATGTAGTTAGTTAATTTTTCGACAGGGGAGTTACTCAAAAGATAAAGCGTGTATTTTTAGCTTAGTATTCCTTTAGTTTTAAGCGCTGGAGAACATTTTTAGCTAACTGTATGTGATTGTAGATCATATTTTACTGAACATATATTTTTGATGCATTTTAAAATTTATCGAAACCTCTATTAACACCAACTTCATATTATTATTTGCAAATTTAATTAAAAAAACTTGTATAGACTTTTATTGGACATCTATCAATTTACCTAATATTAACCTATGTACCTACATTTATATTCCAACTTATTTTCGAAATTTCGCCAACCTTTCTATTCACAACTTAATCCCAATGAAAATGCAACAAATATGCTTCATATGAAACAAATTATCGGCGAATATCAAAAATGCAAATATGAAAATAATGACTAAATTAGGTGAAAATGATGGCATTCACATACGTGGCTCGGAATGTGATCAGAAAATATTATCGAGGAAGGAGTCAACGGGTTTTGTATTGTCACCGAATTACCCTTATCCATACATACCGAAAACTGTTTGTAGGTAAGTACAATTAAAAACAAAAATCCTGCATATTTTATCCCAACAAATGTTATTTTGTAGATCTGCCCAGCTTGAGCATATTATTATAGTAATAACTACCTTAAATATAATAATTGACTGGTTGTTTTAGTTTTACTAAATATTTTAAATTTTTGCGAACATCTCTCAGCAGCTCCTGATTGACGAAAACGTATATTAAACACCTTTATTCCTTTTTCATTTTATGTTTATTCATTAACCCCTTATTGCCCATTTTTCAAGTAGGTTTTAAAACACGCTTTTCAGAGCAAAAATAAATATGTTTAAAAATAAAAAGATTTTAAACCCTACTTGAAAAAACGGTCCTTAATGTTTTAGTGTACTTTATTTAAATCCATTATATTTAATTTTACTTTTTCTTATTTTATTTTAGTTATTTAATATTTTATGACATGAATTCTTTTCAATGTAATTTTCAATGGCAATTGAATTACAAAAATTAGATTCAATTAAGTTAGGTAGATTAATATTGCCAGCGCACTATGGTCTGACAGCTGCTATTTGCTGGCCAAAAGTCATTTTTTAAAATATCGATAAATCGATTTGTTTTTCGCCCTTTCACTAAACTAATTCTCCAGTGTAAAAAAGTACATACACATTATTACATTTTATTATTTTCTTAAAGAGTTTTCCCGTTGAGATATCAGCTGCTAAAGTTGACATTTCTACTAAAAGTTTACATTTTTATTTCTTTCGTAGTCATTATTCTTGAAGTTCGAAATGGTATAAGCCTCCCAGTGAGAAATATGTTTCAAAAAAGAGAATGGAAATGAATAACGAAGGCAATATTTGTGAGATTAACAAAAAAGAAAACTAGCATATAACTTGCTAAATAAAATAAAACTCATATTCAAAATGGACTCTAATTTGGGTAATAATTATTAATTCCTTCTATCTGGCCGGATACTGGCTAAAATTCGGTCGTATTGCGAATTTCGATTATAAAAGTTTCAAATTAAAAATTTGGTTCAAAATTATTTTTTTTTTTGTATTTTTATAATCAAATTTAATAGTATAGAATTAGTACTTAAAGTTAAAAATTTGTAATTTTTCATTTTGAAAAGAAGCATTTCCGAATTATAGGGCAACAACCTATTTCTATTTTCAACATAAATGCTACACGATGCTCTAAACAGAGATACTTCATTGCCAGTGTAAATAAATTTGGAAATTCTTTGCGAAAACGCTTCTACCAAATTAAAGGATCTTGTATGGGTATAAGGGGTAGCTATAAATATGTCTCCATTTCTAAATCGATGACTTTTTCCTTGCACGGTCGCTAACTTGTCTACCCATCGTTTGGCTATCCACGTCACTACAAAAACTGAAATCAGCATCATTGCCAAATATTCTGGGGAGCTCCCTCTTCCATAGAAGGTTCCACTAGAGCTCGGAACCCGAACAGCCAAAGGAAAAAGTTATAAAATTTGGTCGCCATATTGTATCCGCTATTTTGTATTTCGAAAATCTATTATATTCTAAATCAGCGACCTCAAAAACCCCCAAACACTAAGTTTCAAATCAAATTGGTTACTTCTCGACTTTTGGCCAGCAAATTATAGTCGCCAGACCATAGAGCAGCATTGAGCTACACCATTTGTCGTGTTAGGGTTTACCTGGTCGCGCGCTCACGATACTTCCTGCATCTGTCCACGTTAGTGATACCCATTTTTATGCATAAGCAGCCACAAGTATATGCCCTGTAAGCAATCCGGTAGCAACTCTACATACAATTCTTTTTTAATAACCGTAACGAGAAGAGCTTGCAATTACTTTCGCTGTTTTCGCACATAATTCTTTCAGTTTTCCAGCTGATTGACACATTTCATCTGGCCTTACTGCCTGCCTTATATGGTATGTGCTCCCCGTGCTTCTCGCTACAAGGTTCTGTAATTAAATTCCCCTTTGTAAGTTAATTCAATCTACTTGCGGATTTAGCAGCACGATTAGGTCAATCGGCGGTAAACTGAAGATTCTTTCTAGATCAGCTTCCTATTTGAGTAGACCTTAAAACTCTGCATCTCAATTGGCCTGCGGTATGTGAGCTTTTGCAGCATCTCGATGCTAACCAGCCTCGGGGGTTTCCACACCGGAACCTTGTATCTTCTTGAGTAGAAATCTGTTTTGCATGCAGTAACAATTAAAAAAATTAGCTTTAACATTAACAGAAACAAAGTTATGTTAGGTTACGGTGATTGCAACTCTGCACAGTCCGGCAAAGGACACACTTAGGCCAATTCCGCCCATTGTGATGTGACTATATACGAGCTCTTTTTTTCTGCCCTTAGTTTCCCATTGCACCCAAAAAACCTTCTCTTAATTGAAGAAAAACAGCAATCAAAATGAAGAAAAATGGGAACGAAACAGCACTAAAGAAGTTGTATCCTCTTTTCATGCCCAACATTTCTTCAAAATGATAGATTACATCCACGGTTCCATATTTTCGTGTACGTTTCTACACACTCCAAAGAAAAATTACGTTATCGGGAGAATTTTTTACTCATTCGGAAGAATTTTCGACCTTAAAGTAAGGAAAGTTTTTCTTTGATCCAGAGATGGATTTTTGGTTCAGTGTGATAGAACCATCGTGTGACCTTAACGTATCGCTAAAAGTCGCGGACGTTCACAGAGTTGAGGTGAGCTAAACACCGAAGAGCATGGTCATTAAAAATAGCAAGTCTTGGCCTTGTCAGAGCAGGGCAGTGGCAGAGATAGTGTTCTACACTCTCCGCCGCCTCCTCGTCCCTGCAGGAATTACAGAAATCGTTAGCGGGGTAACCCATTCGCGTAGCATGCGCTCCGATTAGGCAGTGTCCTGTAGGTACACCGACAACCATGCCAATATTTTTTTATCGCACGGTGTATTAATTTCATTTCATTTGCTAGTTTTTATTTTCTTACATTTCAATCCTTATTCACTCTATCTATGAAGTGGGCGCTTTTATATAAATAAATAGACAATTCATTTTAAAATTACCCTGAAACCACTATATCCAGTTTTTGGTCACTAACATTCTACCAAACTACTTTAAGGTACTTCATTTATGGTATGCAAGATGCTCAGCATCTAGAACGAGTACGTCTTGAATTCTCTGCTTTCAATATACCTAAGGTAGAGCACAAGGATAAAAGCGAGTAAGTAAGCAAGACACATCGGAAAATTTACATGATTTATGTTATTACTCGGAAAATCTTCGCGCTTCCATAGATCTAATTGCACGGATGGTTATCTGAAGATCTACCTGAAAGGACAAGAAACTGCCGATGCCTACGACAAATTCGACTATGAATTGTGTGGCAATGAAACACAGCGAGTTCTCAGTGATGGACCACGCTTAGCGATGGTTTTCAGTTCCGGCGAGCTGCAAGGACGCGGTTTCAAGGGTAAATATACTTTTGAAACCGAATACAAAATACCTGGCACAGCAGCACCAGACGGCACATGTAGCTTCACATATGTGAGCAATTCGAAGAAACGCGGCGAATTCAATAGTCCTCGCTATCCATCCAATTATCCATCGGACACGAATTGTTCGTATCTCTTTCTAGGCGAACCAAATGAGCAGGTCACGATTGTCTTCGATCATTTTAAAATAAAAGCGGATGGTAACTCAAATGCCACTGCGGGAGCTTATGGGTAAATAGCATTGTACCATAATTTTATTTTATTTTATTTTTTACTTTATTTTTCTTGAACGACAGAGAATCGTTAAATTTATTCTCTCTTCATTTTCTTTCGCAGCTCTGGCGCTTGCTTTGAAGACTGGCTGGAAATGTATGTTGTATATCGTGATAACAACGATCGTTTTCTTGGTCGCTACTGTGGTCTGACAGCACCCGGCCCCGTAGAGAGCCCTAGGGGTGCAGTGGGTCTGCGCATCACATTGCATACGGATCAAGAAAATGTAGCTAGCGGTTTCAAAGCACGCTACTTCTTCGAAACGCCACGTTCCGATGTTGGCGAGTGTGGCGGAAATTTTTCCAATCAAGATTCTGGTATTATCACCTCACCTAATTATCCAGCTGGATATAAGGCGCCTGGTCGTGGCATGGCATCGATGGCATGCAATTGGATAATGACCGCACGTCCGGGATATAAGTTATCGATAAATTTTGAACACTTTTCAATCGAGGGCGATCCAGCAAGTGAGTCTAAGTTTTTGCTTTCTAATGTCTTTATTCTAATACGCTTATAAGCAGAAATGTGCCTACATATGTATGTTTATATGTATTATATAAATAATCTGATAATTTTCCATTACTTTAGGTCGTGGCTGTCCTGCTGCTGTATTGCGTCTTTGGTTAAATATCGATTCGGATCAACCGCCAATGGAATTGTGTGGGGAGAAAACACTAATCGAACAGTGGTATCATATTTCCACTGGACAAACTGTTCGTATCAGTTTCACAACCAGCGATAAAACCGTTGGTGCACCGGTAAGTATGCTGGAAAAATTCACGTATTTAAGGGGACAATGGCAAACCTTCTACTGCATATCTACCATGAAGAAGTGTTGCTTATGAAACTACGAATTTATGGAGAAATTTGGGCAAATACTTAATCAGTAAATTATAGTTATACGTCAATTACAAAATTAAGGCGAATTCTACTTTTCAACTTAAAGCCTTTTTGGGTTGGTTCGAAGATGCAGAAAACTTCAAATAGGATAAACTACTCAAACAAATCCGGCCCAACTACTTACCAAGAATTCGAGTTGCTAGACGTTTACAAAGAGTCAAAGGCAAGCAGGATCAGTTAGTCATGGGGAAGACTAAAGTCTTCAGAATAGTACATACCCTTGTTCTCTTAGAGTGAAACCCGAAAAAACAACATTAAAACAAGATTAAATACCTTGCAGTTATTCTGGGCTCTACATTTAATTAGAGGCTTAGTAGCCTCTCCATAGAACCAAAAGAATGTTAGGCAATAGGTATTGATTAAAACCACTACACTGGATGTGGCACTGGTCTAGTGGCCAGCCCTTACAAAGGATTACATAATTAAGAACTAGGTGGAATTCAAGGTCAATAGCCGTTGGCATAACGGATGCAATGAGATCCTATCGAAATGATGTTTTGAAGGTTCTTCTCGATTTATTACCGATAGATATTTTTATCGAAAACTCTGTTGCTAACAGCGCCATCAGAATGCGTGCCTTGGGATTCTGAAAGAAAACACCGTTTCGACTAACCTAAAGCTATCCTTTCGCCTGTCGGTCCATGCAAGCGTTTTCCAGACCGAAATATTTGCACCCACGGGAACGCAAGTAGTTAAATACCTTCCCAAACAGCCAAGCGGCAATTCAGGCACGCTCTTTTATCTCTGTTAGATCTCAACTAGTGAATGACAGTAGGAGAGACCTCACGTCGATTTCTTACCGATCCTCTATAGGTCAGGTGGACATATATGAAAATGAGACGCAGACGAACTAAAAGTGTCCCACGCGTTGCACATGGGAGCCTAGGTCAGAGAGACTAAGGGCACCGTCTCCGAAATTGACCATGCTTAAGCTAGACAGAGATTTAGCCGTACAGGACAGTACAGGATTACCCGGAAGTTCTGGGCAGTCCTATGAATAATTTTAAACCAGGGCTCTTTTAGCAATGAGCAAAGAAAATACCCACAAACTTACTGCATCTTAATTAAAATCAAAGCGCCCTAACGACAGGCAGTTTCAGCGACCAAGAAAATAGAATACATGGAGCCTTTCACTCAATTAATAATGTACATAAAATTAATAACAAAATATATACACGCATAAGTATCTTCAATTTTGCATTGCACTTTTTTCAGGGCTTCCGCATTGTATGGACTGAAATACAAGACTACAAGACTGGACCGCCGTCCACTGGTCTACTCTGCGAATCAACATACCACTTCCAATGCGAGGAGGGCTACTGCATTTCTGATAAACTACGCTGCGATGGCGTCAAAAACTGTAGTCCCGGTGATGATAGTGACGAATTGCACTGTGAGTCGTGAGTGAGTCGAACGGTTCAGTTCATTTTTTTCTTATTTACTTTTATTTTAATTTTAAGTTTTCTTCTTCTTAAGTTTATAATTTCAGTTGATTTCCGACCTTTGATTTGATTCTAAGCAAGAGTGATGGAAATTAATGGATAATAATTTACAAATTTACATACATATCTATATTAATTTTTAATAAAACTGACTCCACTTATCCATATACATACTTATTATACTATTAATAATAATATTTAGTAGAGTAAAAACATAAAATAAATAAAATTCAAGTATTAAAAAAAAATCATTCGTTCCAAAAGCAACTTAATGCAACTCAACAAAAGCACTTTGGTTTGGTTTCATAATTCATGTTTTCATAATTTAAAGCAAATTAGCAAAACATTTAACGCATACTTAACGCAGTTATGCATATTGTTTTTATGCCTAAGACATCAAACGAAATTTTAAAGAAACGAAAACTACTTAACACAAATAAATTCGTAAATAAATTGGACTTAGCTGAAATCATACTTTGACATCCCAGATGCATATATTCTACTCATCGTACTTATTTGTATACATATATATACACATCGTTACCTTAATATAGAAAGGCCCACATTTCACATTTCCGTTTCTGCAAACATAGTTTGAAAATTTGGCAAAAAGCAAAGTTCTACAGTTGCGAATTACATCGAAGAATTGATTTTTATTAAACATAATATTTTCTAACGCTGCAGCGTATTATTTGTTTTAAATTTCTATTAGATATATTGTGAGCTGTTTGACAGCTTTTGTATAAATCTGAACTTGAATGAGTTAGGGCCTTTCTATATGAAGTAACGATGTGTACATATGTATGTATATGTGCATTAGATCGCGTCGGAAAAAGTTCGCCATATACCACTGAGTATAAAGAATTTCTGCAAGGCAATTACAAAAAAAAAAATTTTGGCCGAATTTAGTGCTGGTTTTTTTTTACTTTTCTTTATATCTTCGGCATTTACAGACGAATCTTAAAGTATGATTTTTCAGTGTTCTTGCCTAGAAGAAGCATTGTTTTGTTTCAAAGTTCATTGCCCTCAAGTACCACGTTCTAGTGCTGGGCTCACGAGTTCTTAGTTCCTGCCCCCCTAATGCACCACCATTGTGAGAGTAAATTAAAGCTCAACAAAAATCACTAAACTTTTGCTAAGGAAGTACTTTAACTATTCCAGTAGAACTATTTATTTTGAAAAATTCTTTTATGCTAAATGTAAATGTAACCGAAAAATGTAAAAAGGCAACCCCTGCGTTTGGCAAACAAAAAAAAATTGAAATTGCCTAGCACAAATACTTTAGACTCAGGGGTGTTCAGTGAATTTTTTTGCTTGCTTATAAGTTGGTACGATCTAATGTACATATTTTTTTCTAAATAATAGTGTAATTTTATTGAATATGTATTATTTTACTGCTCTATGCGTTCTGTTAGTTTATTTTCTTCATTTAGTATAAATTGATTGAACTTTATGTACAACTTGAACCCGACGACACGTTTAGAAGCTCTTTAAATATTTACTGTCGTAAAACCATACTATAAAATGCTCTTTAAAAACTTCTATAAATTTTCGTTTCATTTCTAGTCATCTTCATAAATACACAAGCATATATAAAATACTAACTAATTAATGAATTATAAAATCATGAGAATTCATTTGGAACTACATATATCTGTAGCATTTTGATAAAACAACTTGTAGGCTTTTTATTAACAAAAATTAGTTTTGCTTTAAAACTTTTATATATTTATTAAGTTTGTATAAAAATGGCATCCAACAGGTCTATTCTGCGCGTAAATAAAGTTCGTGTCCATTTTTAAACCCTTTTCGCATTCGGTGTACCGTTGTAACCGAAAATTTTGTTACCATGCCATAAGCTGGTAACAAAATATTGCCACGTGAAATATGCAATGCCAGAGTTTCCACATTTCTTTCTTAGCTGAATATTTTAACTGCATTACCAACGTACCTAGAATCGCGGTGAGAAGAACTGGTAATAAAATTTGTCGGTTACAAAATCTTCCGTAATGTGGAGAATAGACCTGTTAAACTACACCTATAGCTAGTTAATCGTTGTGAACGGAACGAAATATTGCTTTAAGCAAAAAATGGCCTAACTCAAGACAAGTTGTTTTATCAAAATTTCACAAATAGGTATCTTCATAAATACACCAACATGTGTGACATGCCCGCGGCCATAAACAATATTTAGTCGTTTAAGTCAAAAATCGTACTTTCAAGAGAACCTCAATTATATACATACATACTTTCCGAATTGGGAAAATGAGACCAATGATCAGAGTTAATTTTTTTTCAATTTCGGTTCAATATCGTGCCCCTAGTTCTTTCAAAGAAAAACTTTAACGGTTTGTTAGTATAAATTGAATGCGGATATAGGGATTTTTATTCGCACACTGATATAGTGATATGTGAAATATCTTGAGTTAAGTGCATATGTAACGGATCACGTTAAAAGGTTCTCAATTTATATTAATCCGACTATGTATATCCTACTTTCTCAATCCAGTAACTAAAAGATATTGGAATGAAGGGGCCACTTTAAGGATCTTCAAGAATTTTCTCATTTGGAGGGGATAAAATAAATTGGAACTGGACTAAATTTATCAAGCGAAATTAAGAGAAATATCAGGCTTTTTTTGCCCCAATTTTAAAATTTAAGCAAAAAGGGCACTCACTTATCACACTAGTCTCATGTACAGTAGACTGGGTCTAAAAAGCAATCCAATTAACCAACTATCAATCTATCAATTCTAGCAACAATCTTGAAAGCTCTTTTCTGTCTTTCGACTAATTGAAAGATCTGCTAACTAGGAGGTCTTAGCGTTATTCTGTTTTTCCTTTGGCAATAAGTTTTCTAAATAAAATAAAATAACATATATTTTTCTTTATAAACAATAAAATGCAAAAAAAATTTAAATTATACAATTCAAACATTAAATAAATTAAAAAAATAAATAGTTAAAAATATAAAATGATTTTCTAAATATTAAATGAAATTAAAAAAATGTATATATTTTCCTTTTTAAAACATTAAAATCTAAAAATTCAAAGATTAAATCAGACCAATATATGTCTAATATGTGTCTAAAAATCATATAAATTAAATTTAAAAAAAACAATATTTTTTTAACAACAAAAGCTCAAAATTGAAAGAAAACTAATTTAAGAAAATAAATCAAGTTTCGAAAAATTATATGGAATTAAAATACAAAATATTTTTTTTAACAGCAAAAATCTAGAAATAAAGAAAAAATAAATAATAAAACAAAATTAGTTTCTAAAGATTAAATGAAATTTAAAAAATATATTTCTTTCTAAATATAAAATCTAAATATTAATTTAAAAAGGGAAAATTTACAATAAGTTTCTAAGCATTATTGAAATTTAAATAAAATATTATTCTTTCAAAACAATAAAATCTAGAAACTAGAAGATAATTAAATTAGTAAAAAAAAATATATTAAATATATAAAATTCCCTGCACGAGCATTCGACCTAGAGTGCAATTATCTTACAAAATACTTGCGACTACATAACATCTTAGCCAAAATTGCCCTGTTAAGCTGGCAGGCAAGTAGTCAAGCCCACTTGGGGTCGGAAAATAGTTTGATATTTTATTTTATTTGATATTTACAAACGTAGTTTTTCAAAACGCAACGCTAAAATTTATGTACTTGCCTGGCTGTCGATATCACTTACATGCCATGGCGTATGAGTTACCTATCAAAATAAAAATTTTGCCCGGTCGAAATAAAAACTTTAAGTCTATTAACTTGTTGCTACGCTTCCAAGAAAATAAAAATATTTAATTTTATGAAGAGAGAAGCGGCATTTAGTGTGGTAGGAATTTAGTTATTAGAATTTAGTGCGCGCCAAACAACGATATGTGATCGCGCCTGAGAAAAGGGTGTTGTACAATATATATGTGCATACTACTACTATTTTATTCAGCTGCATGAACTAGCTTTGCTGAGTCTTAGTTCGTTCACCTAATTGAACTAGTTTATTTATGTTTTAATAACACATACGTATAAACATATAATAGATTGCATAACGAAACAAATCAGTCGTCATTTTCCAAAATCACGAAATGCCATTACAACGAAAAACGAGTTCCCATATGTATTGTAAGAGTACATTTCCATTTTTATTAGAGTATTGCCACAGAAAAGTTTAGTTCATTTTAATGAACGAACTAACTTAACTAAAAGAGCTGGCTCTTTCGCTCTTTAGTTCAAAAGCTCCCCAAGCCTAATACATACCATTCATGTCTTAGACTTAAGCGACTATTGTTTTTGGCCACATATATGATATATTAACACGAACTCGTACGTATGTACTGCACTTCTATTACTTACGAATACTATTTCAATTATTTCCACCGATCAATAATTGCAATTTCGTACCACTTCAGCACATTTTATGTACATACACCTACACATATGTGTGAATAGTGTTTCTATTTGTCTATTAACTTTTCAAACAAAATTTTCACAAAAACAGTTGACAATTCCACGCCTCCAAACCATACTTTGATAAATAAGTCTAACTAAGTGGAAGCTGATTTAGCATGGTATGGTTTGGAGGTGTCGAATTGAGTTTTACATATACAACATATGTATGTATGTACATTAGAGCGTACAAAAAAAAAAAGGCTCGGCGTGCAACCTGAGTCTAAAGTACATTTGCGACACAAAAAAAAATCGAAATTTCCTTGCAAAAATACTTCAAACATAGGGGTGTACGGCGACCTTATTTAAACAATGGAAAGCATACGTATTTGTAAAATAGGTTAAAAAATATATATATGTATTTTATGTAACGGGTGGAACGCTGACAATTTCTCGACATACGTAGATATATTTTTTAATAATTCAGCACAGTTTTAAAGTCCACGTATTCTAGTTTCTTTCTGAATAGTTATTTTTTGCATTGTCACCTTCAATAC